AGTGAACAGGGTCTTCTTGGTCTCCGCCTGGCCAAAATGCCTTTGATTCCTCAATTGAAGATACTTCTCAATTTCTGAAGGGGTAGTGATGGTCATCCTCAGATCAGTAACTGTTTTTGGGTCAACCAAGGTAGTATTAAGAGCAGATGGATCAAAGGATGTCCACTCCAGTGGAATCTGTATCTGTGAAATAGCAGGTCCTGTTTGAACTTGTTGATGGCAGTGGTGAAGTTGACAATACGCAGTATTCTGCCTCTCCTGACGGCAAAGTTGACGGAGGCACTGTGCCCGAGCAGGATCATCAGCATCCATAGCAATATTGGCCTGTTGTAGGAGAAGGGAGTCTTGTTTGGTTACAGATTCTTGGAGGAGCATTTTGATCTGAAGCCTGAGTTGACACATGTGGGATTGAATCTGAGGAATAGTGACATCTGGGGGGATCTGAAAGCTCAGGGCAGTAGCTCTGGTGAGGAGTGCTGTGCAATCCAAGTGTTTTTGCTTCCAATGACAAAGTTGGCTGTAGACAGAAAGTTCTTGTTTCAAAAGATGCAAGTCAACACTCCAGTAGTCATGGGGTGAGACTTGGCATTTATTTTCTGCAGCMCTACTGGCTCGGATGAGGTCAGCATCAAGAGCCTCAGCCTCTGCGTGATCAGGGGGGACAGATGAAGAAAGAAGCTTGTCAAGTTGGGATTTGATGTGATGGAGTTGCATGAAGTTGTGAAAGGTTTGAAGATATACTTTGATCGCCTTCTGGTCCTTACTTGAAAACGTTCAGAATGTCACTGGTGAGATGGACTGGTGGGAAAACAATTCAGAAACATCCAAGTCAAAGTAAAATCCCTGGTGATCACCAGACAGTCGGTTCTTGAAAGGTTCATAGATGAAGGTTGTGATGTAAGGGCAGAGCTCTGGAGAAACAAGGGCATAGTCAATAYGTCTGCTGCCTCTGTGATACGTTGGGAAATCAGGGTGATTGGGATGGAGTGTTAGCCATGGATCAACAAGGTCTAAATCAGTCATGAAAGACTTAATTGGGGATGAAGTGCTAGGTGAATTCCAATCTCCCATAAGAACAACAGAAGGCAGGCCCTCATGAGTATCAACAGCTTTGGTGACAAAGTGTTTGAGATCTGGGGTGAAATGCCGCTGCAAAAAGGCAGATGCTGTCAGCCCATTTGTCAATCTGTGGCTGGAGCCATTCTTCCCTGGCTGTGGCTGTACCAATGAAACCTCCAATGTACCAGTGTTCAAATCCCTGTAGGATTTCAGTTGACCTGGAGTGGTGCGCAGGATTCCCAACAAAAATACTTTTTGATGGCTCTTGCACGAGATTACGTGTACTCTTAGTATGTTAAGTGTGTATGAAAATTGAAATTATAAGATTAGAATTATTTGAAAATTACCAAGCGCGTTCACGAGAATTCCGAAGTTCCGATTAGAACCTCATGTAGACCTGGTAGGGATTCTACATGGGGGTTCTCTGTTCCGGACTCGTGACATCTCTATTCTTCGTGAGGYATTCTCGAATAGTATCTTAGACCTCTTACGATCATCAACATGGTGGATCGTATGATCTATACATATAAACAGTACCTTACGATAGGTACGTAGKAATGGTATGATCCTTCATTCCTTTCTTTGGAGCTTTGTATCGTACGTAATGATTCATCGATTCATCGGTACGTACGTCCGTTGCAGCTCTGGGAAGTATCCCTAATCTGGGCCCAATCAAAGGAGGAGGTGCTTTGTACCAGAATTTCCAATACTCTTCTGTGCAAGGTGGCGTCATCAGCATAGAATGGTGGTAGGACCACCATCAGAAATGCAGCTCTAAGAGTTTTGGCAAGTGGGACCAAGGCCAGGCCATAAAGGATCATTGAAAGTGGATTCCCCTGGGTGACACCTTCATGTGAGTAGAGAACTGTGCAGGGACCTGTTGAGGATGTGCCCCTGAGAAACAGCATGGCCAAATACTGGTAGCAGTTGAAAGATACCTGAGCGCCTGCAGGCCAGAGGTGGCGAATGGTCCAGAAGAGAGCCTTGCTACTAATCTCATTGAATCCATTCTGTGCATCAACAAGTAGTGCACAGCCAAGCTATTTCTCCAGGAAAATTCTCAAGAGACCCTACACAGTTCTGTACTTGCCAGAAGGTGTCATCCAGGGGGATCCACTTTCAATGATCCTTTATGGCCTGGCCTTGGCCCCACTTGCCAAAACTCTTAGAGTTGCATTCACAATGGTTGCCCTACTGTTCTACACTGACAACAATACCATCCATGGCGGAACCACAGAATTTGCTTGATCAGGGATACTTCCCAGAGCCATCAAAAAGTATTTTTGTTGGATGCACCACTCCAGGTCAACCAAAATCCTACAGGAATTTGATTTTGAATTTTACAATGGACACCAATACCAGAGGATTCACCAGTACTGCCACAGCCAGGGAAGAATGGCTCAACCCATAGATTGACAAATGGGCTGACAGCATTCGACTTTTTGCAGGGGTGTCTCAATGATATCCTCAAGCCGCATTTGCTGGTCTGACAGAATTGCTGCAGGCCAAATGGACATACCTCCAATGCATCGTTCCTGGTGTGGCATAGTCTTTTGCACCTGTCAAAAAGGCTCTAGCCAAGGACTTCTTGCCTGCACTACTTGGAAACTCCATCAAAACCACCGCTGATCTCCAAGATATGCGGGTATTCCCAGTGAAATTTGCGGGACTTCCCCTCCCTTGCTGTGAATATGGAGCATCCTGCACAGGAAGGTGTCTGGGTGCAGCTGTTTGGAGTCTGGAAGGAGCTGTGTAAGCTGTGCCTGCATTAATCAGTGCAAAAACCAATACAAGCCAATAACAACAAACCTGGAGGCCTACTCCTCCCCCTCCCTGCATCACCAATCTAAATCTTATGGACCCATTCCCAAAGGAGCTGATCAAGCAGCTTTCAGACCCCTTCCAGGGGATCCAGGACAGGGCAATCCCCTTGAGGGTAGCTGAGTCATTAACACAGGATTCCAATGCAAGGTTCCTTGTGGCCATTGCACAGCTAAAGCATTTTGGTAGGGGTACAACCATCAGGGGGCCCCTTGACCACCAATCCATGTCTACTGTGGATGGGGGTGCGGGGGCCCACAAAGGTGCATTATTTGAGGATCCTTTGGTTCTATTGGATTTCTCAGAGGATACAACAGATTACAATTACAATTTCAATGCTGCAGACAAGGCAGCTTCTGATTCACCCAATGCAGAGGATACTGCAGAGGATACCAAGGCTCCCTTTGCAGCTCTGGATGCACCAATCACTGCAACGAGCAAAGCAGCTTGCACTGCTTTGACTGTTGCAGCAATTCCTACAACCAAAGCGGCTCATGCTGCTAACATTGCTACTGCTGCGTGAAAGCCTCCTCCAGAGGCTTCTCCAATTCCTCCTGTTGCCCAGTGCCTCCTTCAGAGGCTCATTCAGGGGCTTCTTTGTCTGCATTAAATACAGATTCATTGCCTGCAGCAAATATTGCTGCTACAAGGCCTTGCCCGGCACCAAATTTGAAAGTGCATGTGGAGGCTAATCCAGAGGCTCATTGGAGGTGCGTTTGGAGACTATTTCAGAGGCTCACTCTCCTTTGGGGGCTCTTTTAGAGGCTTTGACAGCTCACCCAGCCCCTCTTTTGGTGGAGGCTAAAGCTTCCACAACAGAGAGGAGTGTGTGTTTTAGTTCTGGAGCAAAGTGATCATCAGAGGCTTACCCAGTGCCTCATTTTGAGGCTCAATCCTCACCTCCAAGGTGATTGGTTTTATGGTCAGCAAGCCCAATGCCAAACTTGGAGGCTCATTTGGAGGCTTCTTTTTTAACTGCACCAAATACAGCAGTATATAATGCTGTTTTGACGCCTTGTCTGGTGCCAAATTTGGAGACTCAATCTGCACCTCCAAGGCAATTAGATTTAAGGGCCCAAGCCAGGCGCCAAGGACAGTAACAGCAGCAGCATAGGACGAGGAATGAGGCTCTGTATCATCCAGAGGCTGAAAACAGGCCTGTGGAAGAGGTACAAGCAATAAATGCAGGAAAAGTGGCAAGGGTGACTCTTCCTCCGTGCCCTCACAATTCTCCACCCCCTACTCATACAACCACAATTTGGCCAGAGCTTTGAATTCTAGATGTGGGACCAGATATCCCTGACTACGTGCTTGCTGAGGCAGATTCTAAACTGGACTGGACAGAATCTATGGAGATCATGTTCACAACCACTGTGGCACTCAACTTACTGGTAACATTGCCGATGATGCACTCTGGTAACACAGATGGAAACAGATTGTCAACATTAGACCAACACAGTACCTTGCCCCACAGAATGGCCTGGGGAAGATGTTTCTTCAGAGATTTTGCGTGGAGCTGCAAGGAGTGCGTTTTCAATAGTGGAGTTCCAAGTATCACCTGGTGTTCATGGCAGTTATCCTGCAGGAGTCACAGCATGGAGTGAAAAAGGCTAATGACATCCAAAGCCTAATGGAACAACAGATTAACCATTGGGATGCCGGTCACTACAGTACTATTGACAATTTTACTGTTGTCAATACTGCAAAATGCTCAAGAACAGGTTTTGTGTGTGTTGTAGGCCCTGAGGAGCTAGAACAACTCTTGAACTTGACCAATCATTGCCTATTTTCTCTTTGGAGAACAGTAGGCCTTAGAAAGCTTAAAACAACGATTTCATATTAGATTGCTAGCCTAATCATTGTTTCTTGACTCTAATATTACCAACTGACTCACATGCAATACTAGTAGAATCACTAATGCTTTGACTAGTATCATGCAACGTATGAGGAGCGTTTTCGTACTGAAGAAAGGAAGTTTTTTCGCTACAACTGAAAGTCGTCAATAAATGCTTACAAATCAGTTCAGAGCTGTCGCAACTTTTGAGATCACTTTTGTAGTGCAATCATTGGAACTGGAAAGATTTCATCCGGAAAATTGTTTTGCCAGGTCAATCGTTTCACCTGCAGCCCACTTTTGGCAATGAGATCCAACCAATATTCCAGTGATCTCGTGATACTTGCATCGTCCATATCTACCACAAATGCCTGGTCCTCGCAGGTGTTTTCCTTCAATACTATCCATCCTCCTTCGACCAAACTCAAGGAGCAACGACGCAAAAATTGAACAATGTCGAAATCGGTTAAGTAGCACAAGGCCCACTGAATCCATACTATGGAATATTTGTTAGCTCCGGGCTTCCAGTCTTGCAGCTCGGCACAAAAGAAGCGGCATTTGTTGGATGAGCTGTCGCCGAGATGATCGGGAGCCGAGAAAAGTAACCGAGAAGATGACTCCACCAGATCGCATCGATCTGCAAAGTCAAGAAGAAGCCCCTTGGTGACCCGACCTATTCCTGCACCGCATTCACAAGCTACAGAGGCTTTTCCGTCAGCCCTGGAGGGGAGTTTCAATTGCTTTAAAAATTCACGGGATCCCTCCAGATCTTTGCACGATATGTGACCTATACCGCCCAGAACTCCATCAATGGTGGATGGGCAATTGTCTTCGTACCAACCCTTCGCACGGGTATACCACGTGGATGAATCTTGGTTTCGCCACATCTCTTCGATCGAGGAATACTTTTTCCCGTTCGTGTCGGATCCAAAGTAAGATGCTTCCGCATTTGAATGGTCCATCTCGAGGTGCATGACCATCGTCTGGTTGTAAGTGGGTTCGGCGTTTGTCAATATTGGGCACTTTCCGGCCCAAAAGTCACGAGTGCTCGAGGATGCTGTCTTTGCAGAAGAAATGGAATCGGGAAAGTGCTGCGTCTCCAGGCAAACAGCACTCCAAGGGCCATATTCTGCTTTGCACACATCTACCGAAGAAGACTGATCGCTATCGCCCAAATTGTTGGCGGTGTAAATTTGGACGCCCGGAGCATCGGAATATATCGTCAACCTACGCAACCCATACGTCAAGAACCCAATCTTTGGTAGTGAGGTTCCTCTTTGCTTGCGAACAACATAATTGTGATCAAAGCCGTACGGTATTGGAAGCGAGGAATAATTACGAGCTGCCAAGTGTTCTTGGGATTGCTGTGCCGAAAGATCCATTTTTTCGATAGCATATTTCTCCAACGCGTCCCGCAAACGTTTTCCTTGACGAAAATCCATAACACCATCGTCATCCAGTGATCGAACTTCTCGTGTTGGTATGAAATTCTTGTCTACTGGTGTGTAAGAGTCTGATTCCACCTGCAAGTAATGGTCGAGTATCCCGTTCTCTTGGTCTCCGAGGTTGAAATAGGAGTGGTTTGCCAAATTGATCGGAGTTTCCTTCACTGTGCCTTCTCCTGGATTATTCAGTTCGGCGTGCATATCCAATTGCAAGAGAACTCCAGAAGGAGAAAAGGACGGCCTCAATATATAGGTAGCTTTGATGGTGATATCTCCAGGAAATCCCTGATCACCATCAGGGCTCTGCAACGAAAACTGTAATGCAGACCCTTCGCGAATGATTTCTGGGGCCCAGATTTTTCGGGATGTCCCGACTTTCCCGCCGTGCAAAGCATTCGGAGGGTTGTTTGGGAAAATCGAATAAGATTTCTTACCCAGAGAAAACTTGCCCCCGCCGATTCGGTTGGCCACGCGTCCTACGATGCCACCGAAGAAGGGTGGATTGCCGGTATCGTGAAACGTTTTTGCATCCTTGTAACCTGCTACGATGTCCACAACTTCGTCGTTTTCGTCTGCATTAGACAAAAAATTTACGATGCTAGCTCCTAGTGAAGAGAGATGGACTGTGGTGATGAACGTAGAATCAGGGACATTGCATTTCGAATAGTCTTCCTGGAGTCAAAAAGTTCTGTGCCCTCCGAGCGAAATATGCCACTTCCATCCGGCTAGCTCAATCCTTACCTGTAGCTCCACGAAGATTCAACGAAAAAACTTCTATTTCCTTATTTTCACCATCCTCAGCCACTGAAATGGTGTTGATCTTCGTAGCAGTTGCTTTCTCCATCTTTGCTAAGAACTGTTACTTCCACCTTCCCATCGCAAAAAGATTGACAAACATTTCGCATTCCATGATTTTGATTTTTGATGGCAAGTGAGAAGGAATCGGACCAGGAGGGCGAGGAACCGGACTGGAAGAATAGTTAATCGAACTAGTCAACTTACAAATGGGTTTTGGAGGATCGGGCCAATAGGTTTGATGAAATTTTGTCGCGATGACGTCACTAACAGTCCCGTACTTTTTCCCTTCGGATTGAAAGAAAAGTCAAGAAGATACCGTACCAAATCAGAGGGTTGTCAGTTCGGTTGATGGGGATGTCAACACCAAGGACTCTATTGTGAACTTAGGTCTTGACACAACGTACAAAAACACTGACAACGGAAGCAACGGTACGCGTACTACCACAAACTGCATTTTTATTCTTAATTTTCGACGAACCATGGAAAAATTCGCTATTTCTTGCCTTGCCCTGAGCGTTCTCGTGACACAGGTCTCGTCCTTTGCGTCGCCGTCCACCGCGGTTGCTCTCAGTGCCGGTGCGAGGTCCTGGCAGGAAGGGCCGTTGGCTCTGTTGAACGACAACAACCAAGACAATCACTATGCACCCAGTCGTGCAGAGTTTCTGAGCAAAACATCCTCGGCCATAACGGCGGCTGCGTCCCTCTCCTTGGTACCAATCGATCCTGCGTTTGCGAGGGGAAGAGCGACGCTGGAGCAGGCGTATGATCGCTATTCGAGCCGCATCATCGATGGCGGAAATTTCTATAAAACCCAAATGAAGACAATGGTGGCCAAGGACGACTGGGCAGGAATCAAAACTGCGCTTCAGGAGCCACCAAAAAAGACGAAAGCGGACAATGCCAAGATCGATGGTGGGATTCAAGAACGCGCGGCCCAAGCAGGGCAGTTTTCCGACGCTCGTGTTCTGGTCGCCCTAGACTTGCTTGCCGCTCAATTCTCTGACAATAGCATTAGTGCTAAAACAAAAGCGATGAAAAAAGACGTAGAAGAGATCCGTTCTGTGGTTGTCGAGATGCAATCTATTTGCAAGCAAGCCCTTGGAGAAGAAAGTGCCAAGGGTGGCTTCTTCGGGGTTGGGAAGAAACAAGCCTCGAAGAAGGAGCTCTCAAACAGAATGAAAGAACTCTATATTATCGGGGGAACTGCCTGGAATCGTTACGCGTACGAGGCCAATGCGGGCATTCCGAAGACAGTGCAGCAACTGCCATTCCTTTAGCCAGCAGTTAGAGCGAAGTAATTTTTCCATACTTCATGCTAACCGTATTTTCAAATATTCTGTAACCGACAGAGTTCTGCGATTCTGTTGTCTTTACTTTAAATGGTTTTCACTTCATAGTATTCTCTATTCTTTTTATCTGTTGACAACATCATTGTCCAATGAATGCCATGCTAGGCTACGATTTTGTTTCTGATTTGCGTTTGAAGGTGGGTAAGTGCGTGTCTTCCACTCTATAGTTCCCGTCCTTGTCAAACCGTAAATCTTTCATGACGCCTTCTATCCTATCCATCGATTCTTCTCCCTTCGTAGCTACCAATGCAAAATGCCGACCCGTCGCGGGCACAACCGTCAAAAACTGCGATTTGCTCTGGATGTAAGAAAAAAGATCGGCGATGCTTTCGGCGTAATCATCGAGGTAGGGTTCGGTGGATCGGATGAGGGAAAACAGCAGCGGGTTCGCTCGTTGTGCTGCATAGCCTGGTGACTCAAAGTCCATCTCGCAGATCCAGAGCTGTCCGCCCGTTTTCAAAAGGCGAAATGCTTCATCGACCATGTCTCTGGAGGCATCTGGGGGGAGCTCGTGTAGAACAAATTGTATGTTTACAACATCTGCCGTCCCCTCAGCACCAACGAGCTCCTCCAGCTGCGAGGCTTTTGCAGCGTCTCCCACGAAGTATTCGATGCGAGGATCCGACTGGATGGTGGACACCCATGGTCCGCCCTCAAGGAAACTGGAAGGTGTCAGTTCTAGGAGGCGCTTCCCGATCGTGGTGAAGTATGGCGACAGATCGACGCCTATTATTTCGTCCGCCTGTGGAAAGTTTTGTGCGAGCTGCCGTGTGCTCATACCTGTGCCACAGCCGAAATCTATGATTCTGACGACGTCTCCCCCTTCGCTATTTGGGACATTGGCGCCGGCTTCGGTCAGAGCCGATTCAAAGGCTCCGCGGAAGGCGTCTTCTCCCTTTGCTCCGTACTCCGGAAAGTTTCGGGCCCCAACAGCAGCGCTAGCAATTTCGACCTCGAACGCTGCTTCCCAAGATAGGTTTCCAGTTTCATACGCGTGAAACGCTTTCTGATAATACGGTGGAATCGATGACGACCACGACGAGGATACTTTTTCGTTTAATGCAGTGTCCAGCTCCTCGAGCGAAGTCTGGCTTTGTATCCATTCTTTCGCCGCCGTCCACGGAATTTCATTGGCTTCTGCAGTTTGCACAATATTCGCTCTCGCTTGGGGGACCAGGATCAATTTCCAGAGAGGCGATTCGAGAGCGAAATTCAGCAGAGTCTGGGCCAATCCAGTTCGAGGAGGCGCACGAGGAGATGTTGCAGTTACTTTGTTTTCTGTGGTCGACATTTTGAGTTCGGTAGGGAATAGAGGAGACTGCTGCTTCCTATCGCGATAGGTGGACACTTCGGAACACGGTGGTGAAAATCCTGCGATGGGCACCGCAGTTGCAAAAAGCAGACTTCCAAAGAAAAGAGTCTTGATCGTCATTATTAGGAACAATGGAACCACGTGGGAATGTATCTCTCCTTTTCTGTCTTCAAGTATTGTTCTTGAACTATTATTATTTCTGAGCAACATAGGATGCAACTGCAATGTTCGTGTCGTGTTCTCGTTAGTACCGTAAAGATTACTGTGATGTGTGATGACAAACGAAACATAGCAATCAATCAAACTGTTGATTCGATGTACGATGCCGTATGCCTACGTCATCGTATGCACGAAACCTTGAAGAGAAGGTGTAAAATAAGTAAAATCTTCCCTACTATTGGTTAGATAAATTAGAAAAGGATGAGATCAATCTGGAAAACTCTTAGGATTCCGATGATTCTCCATACTTCATATGTGAGATTGTCATCAGGGGTCATAATTTAGAGGGGAGCGCAACGCGTCGAAACTCATATTCCACGTGCGGTCCAAATTTCCAAAAAGTCACCGAAGGAATTTTTTTCATTCTCATTTTTACTGCATAATACTAGTAAAACTATCCAACCTTTAAGCAGTTACAGCTTTATCAAAAATACTACTATTTTAATTTTTGAGTAGCCAGTCTAGTCCAGTTTTTTATGCTGATTCTGAATATACCATTTT